TTGAAATATGTGTAACAACGCCAGGCGAAAATTTTTAGTTTGAAAATACTTTTAAAGGGGTTGCCACCTGTTCGAAAAGTCGAATTTGTTTTACTTATACGAAAGATACATAAATGCAATATCGAAATATTAGTGTCAAACGAAAGAGTTTTAAGAAAACTATATGCTGATAATATTTATACCCGAGCGCACTTGTGCACAAGGGTATATTAATTTTGTTCACATAACGGTTGTTTGTAACAGCCAAAACGAATCGAGATAGATATAGACAAATGTATACATAAATGATCAGGATGAAAAAAGAAATCGATTAAGCCATGTCTGTCTGTCCGTCAGTCTGTCCGTCTGTCCGTCCGTCCGTGTACACGATAACTCGAGCAAAAATTGAGATATCTCAACGAAATTTGGTATGTAGGTTTCCCTTAACCCAAGGTAGGTTGGTATTGAAAATGGGCGAAATCGGACTTTAACCACGCCTACTTCCCATATAACGATAATTTTCAGAAATAGGAAAACTGCGATATTTTAGTAACTACTAGAGATTTTTCACTCAAAATTGATATTTACAATAACTTTTAGACGAAAAATAAGAATATTACAAGTTTTTGGAAAATGGGCGTAGCCACGCCCACTTATGGTTACATGTGTATATCTTGGTAACCGCTGCACCAATTTCTTCCAAACTTGGCACAGTTGTTGGCCTTGGTGCAGCATAAAAAATCGCCGCAACTTTTTAAAATCGGACAATAACCACGCCCACATCCCATATAACGGTAATTTCGAGAAATACAAAATCTTCGATAAATCAGTAAATATTGAAGCTAATTTATTCAATATTGATGCTTGCAAATTTCTTTACCAAGAAATACGTTTATGGTAAAATTTTGGAAAAAGGGCGTGGCACCCCCCACTTATGATCACATATAAGTATATCGGTAACCGTTCTACCAATTTATACCAAACTCGGTGTTGTTATTGTGCTTGCCACATATAAGCAAAACGTTGAAAATTATTGAAATCGGACTAAAATAACGGCCGCTTCTCATATAACGGTAAATTTCAGAAATGCTTGAAACTTCAATATTTCGAAATTGAAGGACGCTAATTTACTCAAAATTGATACACCCCGGCTTACCATCTAGCGGAAGGTTTCGGAAAGGTGAAAAAACATATATTTAATACTTGCGCGGGGTATTTAATGTTCGGCTCCACCCGAACTTAGACTTTCTTACTTGTTTTAATTAGAGTTGCCATCTATTTTTTTTAAGGTCATCACATCTGCACCGTTATTTCGAATTTCCAAAATGAGAAGTCAAATAAAAGAACTAGGATTCTACATAGATGTGCACAGGTTTTATTTTTTTAAGTTACAGGGAGATTGAAGTTTGATGAAATGAAAACCAACACCATGCGAGACCGCTCTCACTGAGAAATGGTTTAGATTAATTATTAGGAATATTGTTGTGAGGTTTATGAATAGGGTTTCACCTGTATAAAAAATTTAATTAAACGCTGGCGTTTTGACGTCATGTGGGTTCACTAGTAAATGTATATTTGTGAACTATTACAAACAAACCACTGTCAAGTCACTCCAGGAGCGGTTTAAATTACAAATATTATAAAAATAGAAAAATAAAATAACCAAAATTTTTTCCCTGAACGTGATTGGGGCGAGCTTTGTGGTAACCGGCGGCCCGTTTTCCCTGATACGCCTCATTTTTAAGTAAATAGTATAACGTACTGACGCGTGCAACACGATTCCTTTTTCCTTACTTTTTTGTTCAAAAGTTAAACACAATTTTTTTTGGCTTTAATTAAAATTTAATTTTCTAAAATATTGACGGTTACTGCACCGCTCCTGATTTTTTATTCTTTTCAAATGTCATTCTGAGTACATTGGTTGGTTGGTTTTCTCGTTCTATCATTATTTATCTGCACTCTAATGTTGGCGGATGTACTTTCAACGTACTGCCAATATAGAAGTATTACATATATGCTCTTTGCAAAGCGTACATACACTTTTTTAATTGAAGCTTTGCTCGATGAAAGCTCTTCGCTTCACTCGCCGCTCCACTATGTTTTGACCTATGGCGCTATGGCGACCGAACGAAATGGTTTATAATTCAAATCTAACTGTTTTATAATGTAAAGGACAACAATTTTAAGTTTTCATTACTTCATTTCATGGGATATTTTTATGTTTTCGTTACGCTTTTTATCATT